GGACCTTGCAGGAGCCTGCTAGCCTGTCACTCCTACAAGCCCATCTCCAGTGACCAACGGCTCCTGGAGATCTCATCATTCCTCAAAACTGGACAAGCTGGTTCTCAGGAAGCTCCAGGCCTTCTCACATCTGTCCCAGGGTAAGCTGGGTGGCAGCCAGAGACAGCTCCCTGGGGCAAAGCAGGGCTGGTAGGCTACTGGGAGGTTTGAGCAGGGCCTAAAGAATGCCCTCAGCTATTTGACTGTAGGGCCTGAAAACACTCTAGGCTTTATTTTAGTTTAGTTTAGTGTATTTCCTTTACTTTAGTTTAGTGTATTTTTTAAGTTTACCTATTTATTTTGAGAGAGACAGCAAGCGTGAGCCGGGGAGGGGCAGAGAGAGGGAGAGAGAGAACCCCAAGCAGGCCCCATGCTGTCAGCACAGAGCCCAACTCTGGGCTCAAACTCATGAAACGTGAGATCATCACCTGAGCTGAAATCAAGAGTCAGTCGCTTAACCGACTGAGCCACCCAGGGGCCCCCAGGCTGTCTCCTTTAGAAGACACTCATACTTTGAGGTCATTTTACCTGTACTGTGACCAACTTACAAAGCTTTTGAGCACGTCACATTCATTTGTTTCTCCTGGATACCCAAAATGTAGGCAAAGGGTAAGCAAGGGATTCTACACCATTCTATAGTGAAGGGACTGAGCAATCAGAAAGGTCAAGTGACACCGAATGAGCCAGAGATGACGTCAGGGTCCGAGGTCAAGGAGAACACAACTCCATACACTCCTAGCCAACTAGGAGTGGGCTCCTTCTAAGATGGGTTTATATACTACACCTTATCTCAAAGAATACAGGGTAAAGGCCACAGAAACTCTGGCTCCTCAAAATAGTTAACATGCATTTTATTGAGCACGCGCTGTCAGGTGGTGTATTAAATTCCCTACACACATTACTTGGTTTAAACCTCCACTCAACTAAATCAGGCAGGAGCGATTATTAGACTCATTTCCCCAATGGCATCATCAGGCACAGAGCAGGTGAGTGATCCCCCAAGGATCACATAGGTAGTCAGTGGACGGGCTGAGATTTGAACCCAGTGTGCCCAGAGCATGTCTAGATACAGCCCCAGGATGATGCCAATTATTTATTCAGTGTTATTTCTTGACCACCTACAGGCCTAACCCTGCAGGAGGCACTAGGGATTCAGCAGAGAACAGGACAGACTGAGCGCTGGGCCCATGGCCACGGGCACGGAGTGAAGCAGGCAGGAGAGCACAACAGCGAGGGGTAGGAGGATGGGAACAAGAGCCAATTCTCTCCTCCTGGACATTATACTTCCACCAGGCATCTGTTTGGTTTTTGCAGTCCTAACCTCGAAGGCAGGTGGATGTCCTGTTCCTCCCCATGTAAACCCCTCCAAAACAGGCCTCCCCTCTCTGCAGGCCTCCACCTTCATCAGTGGCCTTGGCTAGCTCCTGTGATGGTCCTGCAGACCAGCAGTGAGTACAAACAAGGTGGTACAGGGCCACCTGGGTGGCTCAGTCAGTTTGGCAGCCGACTTCAGCTCAGGTCACGATCTCGTGGTCTGTGAGTTCGGGCCCTGCGTTGCGCTCTGTGCTGACAGCTCAGAGCCTGGAGCCTGCTTCCAATTCTGTGTCTCCCTCTCATTCTGCTCCTGCTTATTCTCTCTTTCTCAAAAATAATACACATTGAAAAAACATTTAAAAAAAAAAACAAAACACAAGGTGGTACATATTCCTGTGACCTGGAATGATGTGGGTACAGACTCCGGAGCAGGAACTATTTACAACCACCTTCATTTACCTGCCAGGTGAATGCCTCTGTTTCAACACCATTAGCTCAACAAATATTGATTAAGTTACATATGTTAAAAAAAAAAAAAAACCAGGACTGGCACCTGTGGAAATCCACATTAAACCAGAGCCTCCAAGATTTAAGAGAGAAAATAAAATTTAACAACCAAAAGCTGCCATTTTACAAATCTTCGTCAACCCAGCAGGTGGAGGTATTAGCTCCTTTTTATGAATAAGGAATCGGAGGCTGAGAGGTTACAGTAACTTGCCCAAGGTCACAAGCCTGAGAGTGTAGAGCCAGGATGCTACTCAAAGTCCATGCTCTTTCCAGCTTGCCTGGCATCCAGCAGGCCTCGCATGAGGGGGTTGGTGAGGGAAAAAACTGGGGGCTACGGTCATCTCGAAAAGACGGGCGTTCAGACCTGCTACCTTCTAAAAGGCGGCTTTAGAGCTCAGCCTCAAAGGTCAGGAAGATTGTGAAAGCCAGCAAACTCCCTAATCCACTGCATTTTATGTCTGGAGGCAGGGAGTCAAGCCCCAGGAACGCTGCAAGAAAGCATTCTTTGAAGAAGGGACAAGCCACGGCCAACCAATGCAGGTTTTTGAGTCATGCCTCCTGCCTGCACAGACTTCTACCTGCATCTGCATCAGGCCTAACCATTCACCAAGGAAGCGCTTCCTACCACATCACTTAATCTGATGCCCGTAAGAGCCCTGGGGATCGGCAGGGCAGGGCAGGGCAGGGCAGGGCAGGGCAGG